TTCTGGACAAATATGCTTTGCTATTAGGGAAAGAAAGGTCCTGATATCATTTAGAATCACCACTGCAGAAAGTGATGACACACAGACATTGAAAAAACCAACCTGTTTCATTTCTTAGCCTTTGTAATACAGATTTTTTTTTTCCAGCCGACATCAAGGAGGTCTTTCTTTCAACAGCAGGGACCCCGGGTCCTATTTCTTACTTCCAATTCTCTAGAGCGTTCAGCTTCTCTAAATTAAACCCTGCAATTGAATTCAGTTATGATAATGTGTCAGTATGCACCGTTATTTATTTATTTGACATACTGTATGCATAGGTAACTCCTATATTTTAAGTAAGAAATAAGTGAATAAGAATCAGAAATAGGGACAGAGACAAAGGCTTGGATGATGTTTAATCTTAAATGAAGAAATCAATTCTTTCCACCTATAAAGTGAAATCTTCTCAGTTTTCAATATTTTGTCATCTTTGATGATGATGATGATGATGATGATTATGATTATGATGATTATGATTATGATTATTATGATTATTATTATTTGGTATTTTGTTTTTACAACTACCTGAGCTAGAACTTTGCATTTCTAATAAATGAAAGCAGAGAAATGCAAGAATTTGCACAGGTTTGAGCTCTCTGTAACATGGTTATTACCATGGAGAATTCCAAAGCTCCATTATTTTGTTTTCAGTGGAAAACACTGGTTCACTTTACTTTTAAATCACCATTTGTTCGTTCTCTGGCTTCAAGACCGAGTGCAGAGCTTGCCAGAGATCATGGCTGGAAGAAATGATCCTGAACTACTACTGAACCTGGTGTCAAGGGCCCAACCTGCCCTGGGTATGGCTTTGACCCATAATAGTTCACAAGCCAAACAAAATGTTGGTGCTACTGGTGTTTACTACGGAATTAGTCCACAAACTAGAATTTCTGAAGAAAACAGAGCTTCAGGCTAGCAGTGGATCTAAGAATTCTAAACTGTGATATTCAAGATTTGTGTATTATGGGATAATTATAACTTTCAGATTACCTTCAGTAGGTCTATCACATAGTGGTAGTTTAAACTACCACTATGAGGATGTATGTTGGTTTGCTGGCATTCCCCGGGCAATACTGATGAAGATAAACAAGCAAGAACTGAGATAGGACATCAAAGCCCCTCATCCTCCACGACGCTCATTAATATTTAACAGTACTTAAACAGTAGGATTTTTTTTTAAAAAAAAACACCCACCCCCAAATAATAAAATTCAAACCCCAAAACCAACAAAAGTGCAATGATGTTATTCTTTTTCACTTTAAGAATGTGATCTGAAATGAGCCAAATTTTAAAATGTTCTTGGATTAAAGCCAACTTTTCCTCATAAATTGAGAAGGTGCTTCGGCAAATAGATCACAAAATAATATTTCTCAAAACAAAGAAAATGGTTCAGTGGAAAGCGATGCTTTATAAATTTGATTCAAAAGACTGGAATCTTGTGTGCATAAGACTTTCTAGGAGAATTATATCTTTAACCTGGTTGATAATTCAAATTTCTGGTTCTATTCACCATTTCCCTGAATTTTTTCTGCCTATGATCATTTTGGAAACTTCTTTGCCATTATCATATGAATCAGGAAATTTAGCATTTAAAATTTTGATGGAATCCGGATACTATTATGTCCTTTCTTTGAGCATGAGGCAGTAGCTAGCACCAGTTGATCACTATCAAATGAAAACCACTTTCTTCTATTAGAATATTTTTACATATATAAATCTTTAATAAATGGTTTGAATATACATCAGAAGAGTGTTACACTGAAGTAAGCACAATCCAATGCATTTTTTAAAAAGTCAGATTTTTATATGTTGATATATTTATATTAATTCTCTGGGACTGCCCTGGGATTGATGAAAAATAGGAGATAAGGAAATAATCCACTGACTATAATACAAAATCAAAAGTTATAATTCAATAATAATTACCATACACATTTTATATAAGAAGGAAAAATAACATCATGCTGCAGACCTTTCAAAAAATTATTACATTAGAAGACCAGTGACTACATTAGATGACTCACAATGGGATAGTCTTTTAAGTTGTAGGACTGGGATCAGAAAGTCACATTCATATCCATCCACAGTCACTGGGTGACTTTGGGCCTATCACTTTCTTTCAGCCCAAACTACCTTGTAGAGCTGTTGTGGGAAAGAAAGAGGAGGGATTTTATATATACCACTGCAAAGTCCTGGAAGAAATCTGGCATATAAACCTGATGATTAAAACAAGGGGAAACATGCCAAACTAAAGTGGACTTTTACTACAGAGACATCACATGGAGGTAAAGACCAAAATTAGGTAAGTTTAGTGACATGGAATAAACTAGGTAAAGATCCTTTTAAAGATAAAAATGAATAAAACTCTATTCATCATACTGTTTGGCTATCTTTCTATGTCTTCTTATGCAAGTAGATCAGCTTTGCAGCAAGTTGCTCAATATGTACTCAGCTTCTACCCCCATTTAACATAGACAGCCCTTTCACAAACAACTTTAACCCAAGCTGTATGTCGCAGAGCAAATCCTGGCCATCAATGCCGCCACCTTTCACTTGCCAACATTCTAGGCCAGGAAGTATAATACAAGCTGGGAAAGCTTTGATCGGGCTGAGCTGATGGAGGGGGAGGGGAGGAGGGGGGGAGGGGAGGAAGGGAAGGGTGCTATTCACAATCTTGGGCACTTCCCAGTATGAATCATAAACCTACACCAGACAACAAGATGACAGAAGCTATGTCATTCTATTTCCCACAAATGGGACCCTTGAGTATTGATTCTAAGACGGCATCCTGCCTATCCGTTAACTCCTTAAAGTACAACTTCTATTGTCCCCCTAGTTTTCTAGTTACCAGCTGTATCAATTAAAAAACTCCTACCTGGGATTTTGACAGGTTTTTCCTCCATATCTGATCAATCCTATTTGTTTTCTAGAAGCCATGGCATTGGAAGGATTGCCTTGTCACTACGGCAAGAACTTTCTTTAGGGGTCAGGTTTCCAGTCATGGTGTCATTAATAATTGTTGCTGAGCTGGAGGCAAAACAATCCAGGGAGTCTTTCCAAAAAAATCCCTTAGCAGAAAAGGTCAGTACTAATATTAGCCTTAAAGTTGGAAGAAGGAGACAGCAGCACCAGATCGTAGGGTAAAGTTGTTGTCTAACCCAGATGGGCAGGAGCACAGAAGACGATCTTTTGATCCAAATCCCATTAAAATCATTACAATTTTTAGGTGAGCATGGGACACTATAACAAGAAGCAGTGTAACATTTGTGTATTTGGATTATCAGAGCCGAAAGTCCCTGGATGAGCTTCTGGTCAGACACTCTTTTCCAGCTCCACATGCTTCACAGGGTTATGGTTGTGGGGATAAAATTTTAGAAGGAAAAGTGGGATAAAAATTAAGTATGCATAATTAACAAACAGGGATTCTTTGTCCAGGTCAAATACATAGCCAACTCTGGGAAACAACAGGCTCCCCCACCCCAAGTTAGCTCTAATGTACATATGAGATAGACAATTATCGTATAAAGACTGGATCTAGAATAACAGTTTTGAAGAAAAAGGATTTCTGATACATTCATTCCCTACTTGAAATTTCATTCCATTTCCAAGAAGGCTGTACGTAGTCCCACTGAAGAATACATCAGATATTTTACCTCACCCGCCCCTTAATTAATAACCACCGTGGGGATTATGCATGTAACTTCTTGCATTCCTCACATCCTTGTGTGACTCTCTGCCATGAATAAAACTAATAAAACTGTCGTTTTTTTGACAAATTGCTGGATCTGCAAATTTAGCCATGTCCAAGAATTGATTTCAAATGACAAATTCACTCACTTTGCATTTGCAAACTGCTTTAGTTTGGTCAAGACCGCCTGGGGAGATTATAACCTATAGTTTGACCTTCAAGACAATAAAGTTATTATGAAGCTTGTAAAGTGGAATTATAAAGAGCTTGAACTTTCCCTTCCAAAAACTCTCTGGCTTTTTGCAAACTCGATTTAAAAAATCACCTAGCTTTCATGGGGATATTAACCTAGCATCCTACCCTTCCCCTTCTAGCTCCCACATGCTTCAGATTTTGCAGCATGTAAACTTAATTTTACTGTATTGGATGCTATGTTTGCAAACCAAATTAAGAAACAGTCAAGGAGGTGAAGAAATGATACCTATAGATGAAGAAATTATTAGGAAAATGTTGGACTGTGCCGAAATGAGTAAACTGACATTTGAAATAAGAGAGCAGGAAGAAAAACAATATCATTTGATATGGGATTTATTTTACCATTGGGTAGATAATAAAAAATGGTGATATGTAAGTAATTGTTGAAATACTTTAAATGATGATACAACTGATATATTTTATATAAGAATAAATTTTGGATATGTAGTGATATTGTGAAGAGAGATGAGAGCACTAGGGATGCAAACCGACCGATGTACTGTCTGTACTTGATTGAATGAATGATGTTTCTATGTTTTCTTTTTCTTTTTCTTTTGTTTTAAAATAAACAATGACTTGGAAAAAAAAAAGAAACAATCAAGGAGATTAGATTTTCTCTCAAAGGCAGCAGACCTTAGGTTTCCAAAAGTCCACAAACAGGTAAAAAATGAAAGTCAATTTAAAAAATAAATGCTGGTGGTAATCATTTTTAGCAACTATAATTGATTAGACAATAATTGATTAGGCGTTTGTAAAGTGTATTCTACATCTTGAATCCTCTTGCAGATATACCCCTTTAAAAAAAAAATGAGTGCATTATATGTTCGAAATAGCACACCAAACTTCGAACCGTTCCCCTACATCCCCTCCACTTCCGCCCCGCAGATCACTCATTCTAAACAGAACCGGAAGTGAACGCCCATTTTATTTTTAAAAAAGAAAACCCTCTTGCTTGGCGGTGGGAAGTGACGTTCGGTGTGTGGGGGGGTGGGGGTTTGCGTTCTCTGCCTGGGTTCGAGCCGCCCCGTTTAGCTGGGATGAAACTGGTGACTTGGAACGTGAACGGGCTCCGGGCAGGAGCGGGGTCGGCGGGGTTGAAGCAGCTCCTGGATTCTTTGGGAGCGGATCTTATTTGCTTGCAGGAGACTAAGATAACCCGTGAGTCCCAGCACCCCCCACGTGCATCAATGCAAGGCAACAGCTGGACAAGTGTTAAAATGCAAAACCGAGGTTGAAACTGGAAAGGGGGGGGGGCGGTTCCCCGTATTTTTGTTTTTTATTTGCAGCTTTGACCTAGCAACCCTCCTATCTAAAATCGAAGTATATAAGAATCTGAAGAGAAGGAGAGGCTGCCCCAAATGGGTCAGCTTCAGACACCATGGTCAGTACAGGTAGTCCTCGATTTACAACAGTTCGTTTGAAGTTACAAAGGCATTGAAAAAAAAAAGTGACTTAAAGAGCATTTTTCACACTTGTGACCGTTGACAGCATCCCCGTAGTCATGTGATTTGCATTGGGATGCTTGACAACTGATTCACATTTATGACAGTTGCAGGGTCCCGGGGGGTCTGTGTGATCCCCTTTTGCACCTTCTGATAAGCAAAGTCAATGGGGAAGCCAGATTCGCTTAACAACCATGTTACTAACTTAACAACTACAGTGATTCGTTTAACAACTGTGGCAAGAAAAGTTGTAAAATGGGGTAAAACTCACTTAACAAATTTCTCACTTAGCAACATAAATTTTGCTCAGTTGTGGTCGTAACTCGAGGACTAACTAGTTGGAAATTGGAGGTGGCGGACAAAGTATCTAATTTATCAGCCCCAATCCCCAAACCTGAGATTTGTTTGGCTAATTCAGATTTGGTTCTGGATCAAAACCACAGATTTGGTAATAGAAACCAGAAATTTAATGAAATTCAGGAATAATTCCTAACACTTATAAATATATTGATTGAAATGATCATTTGAGGTACAATGGGAGGGGAAAATATAACTTGCAATCTAGTAGTTTCCTAAAATTTGTTGTTTTTCCTCTTTGTATATCAGTAGCTACTTTTCCTTTTCTATGTGATTTGTATTTACTGTTTGCATATTAATAAAAATAGATTTTAGAAAAATGAATTTGGCTAATATATCCTTCATTCCCCCTTCCTCTGATCAACTGAACACCTTTGAAAAAACCTGAAAAGAGCAAGTGTGTGGAGACCTCTTAGTACCCTGTTTCCCTCAAAATAAGACATCCCCTGATAATAAGCCCAATTGGGCTTTTGAGCACATGGCAATAAGGCCAAGCGCTTATTTCAGGTTCAAAAAAATATAAAACAGGGTCTTATTTTCAGGAAAACGGTATTCATCTTCAGTGGGTACTTTTTAAACAAGCAAAGGAGAATTTTAAAAAATGAAATGGGAACTTTGTGTATGCAATGAATGAGGCTGTGTCTTTAAGGAAATATAAGATTGTAGGTCCCTGTCCACGGTGTGTACAGTAATAATTTATTGCTGTAATAATAATTGATAATGTTGCAAGTCTAGTTAAACTTGCCTACTTCTGCTTGTCTTCTACTCAAAGGGAAGAACATGTTAAAAGTGCCTTGTGTACTTATCAAAAAATAAACTTAAATATACTTTCCTCATCAGGATATCTTAATCTGATTATGAGAGTAATAGAATGAATTGTTAAAAATGTCAATATTTCTGGATATATAATGTTGGGGAGGATGAAAAGAAAATTAAAAGAGGATCACTAGCAATAAGGTGGATGGATGAACTTGATTATAACAGCAGTGAGTGCACCCCTGAAAGACACAAAAGGCCAGTGGAGGTCACATCATCTTGGAGAAAATCTATTTTGTCATTAAAAGTTAACACTGATTTGATGTACTTAATCATCATCAGGCCCCTTTTATCCATAAATGAGAATAAATGGAGTCACATATTTCAGCCTGACTATTTGGGTATATAAGATACATTTATTGCAGTTAATTTCCCCTTGGGAAAGTGTGAAATTTGCCCTAAGACTAAAACAGATGAACATGAGAGCAAAATGGAGGTGCTGTTGTTTTCTCACAGTACCTCAGTGTTGACTGAACTTTTTAGGTAAAAGAAAACTGTAGCAACCACAATATTGAAATGGAATCAAGAAAATTCTAGTTTTAATGAAGTAGCCTAAGGTACATCTCATCTACATGTTTGCTGAACATGGGAATGTGTGCCTGTGTTTCAGTGAGGCAAACTAGTCATTTTCAGTCCTTAAACTGTAATGGGTCCCTGGGATTTCAGACAATGAGAAATTTTGCACAATTGTATTTTAGATGCTTTAAAAATACTTTTTTCCATGTTGAGCCTTAAGCCATATGCTGGCTGACCATACACTGCATTAATCTAGGATTCTTTTTAGCATGCTGGAAATATTCCCTTTTTAAAAACTGGGAAAGAAAAGTAGTGTGATTGTGTGTGTGTGTGTGTGTGTATTATAGTTTGTCTCTAAAGCTTGCTGGCCTTGCTGGCTGGAGGAGAAGTTCAACCATGCTGGGAAAAGCTGCTCCAGGCTGATCTTTTTCCTCACTAAAATTCTGCTTTGTTCTCAGGTGACCTGTTGGAGGAACCATTGGCTATAGTGGAGGGCTATAGCTCCTACTTCAGTTTCAGTCGCACTCGCAGTGGTTATTCAGGTATGGATGAGTTAGCAATCCTGACAAATCCAGTTGATTCCTGGATTAATAGTTTCTCAATTGATTCCTGTTGCTGTATCTTAAACAGTGCCATTCTCTGAGTAAAGAAATAAATATGATTCAAAGGTATGATTGAAAATATCTCATGTTTCTAAAGCCAGCTTGAACATGTGACATATTTTTTGTCACAATCTGTGTTCTAATCTGTGTTCTGTGTTGTTTTGTTGGCATGTGAAATTGTATTCTGGTTTGCACACTTTCTTGCATACACTGCCCTTTTTGGCATTGGCATGTAGATTGATTTCTAATCTGGTGGCCACTGTATCATTCTCCAGATTTGTTGGCATAATTTGTTTAAAAACTTCAGTTGTTTGTTATATTTTAATGGGTATTCCATCAGTTCTTGTAGTTTTCCAACTTGGAAAGGATTGGAGCGCTGAACTAACTTCATCTTCTGGTACTACAGGTTCTTTAAATAGAGCGTATCTTCTAAGCTAAAGTATCTTGGATGTTGACATCTCTACTGTACAATATTTTAGTATATTCTTACTTTCAACTTTTAGCTACTGTTTGTTCATTGACATCCTTTAGCATACCAATTAATGGTGGAAACCTAAGCTTAGAAATCTTTTGGAAGTCTTCTTTTTTCATTTTGTTTTCAATTTACCGTGTCAGGATTATAATAGGATTGTTATATGTTTGTCTTCCATTTTGGTGGGTTGATAGGAGTTGCTCATCATGACAATTAAAAGGTCGATGTAATAACTAAATAATGATGGTGCCAGAATAAATCCATGCTCTTAGCAGGAATATCCTTGGTTTAAATGTCCCTGGGGGCGGCACCTTGTCCTTATCATATAAGTAATAGATAAACAGAAGAGGCTTCTTTTTATAAAGAAGTTTGACGCTTATGCCAAAGTTTATCCTGGGAAATTAAATCAAAGGCCAGTCTAAAATCTGGGAAGTCTGTATTATAGCTTTGCGCATATAGGTTACTATTCAGGATTTCTGCAGTTAGTGAAAATGTTGGGCCTGTGATTAAGTAGATAGCCTTTCTGCCCTTTCATATGTAAGATGACCTTTTAAATCTCCTGCGTTTCTAGGCGTTGCAACCTTCTGTAGAGCAAGTGCCACCCCAGAAGCAGCTGAGGAGGGCTTGTCTGGGCTGTTTACCAAGCACAGTGGAGCAGTCGGTTGTTATGGAAACACAGAGGACTTCACAGTTGATGAGCTCAAGGCCCTGGACAGTGAAGGCCGGGCAGTTCTAACCCGTCATCGCATACGGTAAAGATAGCAATCACAAAGGCGGAGGAAGGAATACCTGCTGTTGATGTTAAGTTAGCAAATATCCTGGAAGCTGACAACTCATCTAATATGGAGATGAACAGAGAAAGTAATTAATAAGGCAGTGTTGTGATCTGGATTCGAAGGGGAAGAGAAGGTTTGGAGCGCGTAGGAGTGGTTCCTGTGGCCTCTATTGGTGACTGCTTTAAAAGGCTAACTTTTTCTGGGCTCACACAGCAAGGCCCCCCAAAAAAGGTGTGTTTGATTTAAGGATGTGTTGACAGGAATGATAAGTATGCTCATGCATATTCTGAATCATTTTTTCAATTTGATTTGGATCACTGCATAGCCCTTAATGGTAAAGCAGGTATTTGGGAGTTAATTCTAGGCCATAAACAGCCTGCACAAATTCAGATAGCCGCTAGATGGTAGCAGAGAGTCAGTTGGAGGTATGCAACCTGTGTATAGAATGTCTGATTAATTCAGTAGTGGGTTCCTCTTACCTTTGCTACCAGTTCGCAACCAAGAGCATGCGGCTCTCTGCGCATGCACAGAGCATCCGTGATGATGTCCGGGTAGGTGGGCAGAGCCTCCAGCCGCCGCCACTACTGGTTTGCCCGAACAGGAGCGAACCGGTAGAAACTCACCACTGAGTTAATCCCAGTATTTAACAGGTTTTACAGATAAATGTGGCAGCCCCACGAAATGTGAACATGAACTCAGAAACTCCTGACGCCAGTCTAAACTTAACAATACATGTGCAAAGTAAATGGCTCCCATCTCTCCAGATATGATTTGGTTAATAGTGCTGAATTCTTTTATATGGGCATTGAAGGCACAGACAAGCAAATCTGCCTTGCCAAAGCTATAATTAACCCATTGGAATGAGCCTATAGGTTGCTCATGGTAGAAGAATTAGAGATATATTCATGGAGGTTCAGGCTGTTCCAGCTACTGTAATTACTGTATAATAATATTTTACCTTCAGTTTCAAAGGCAACTTGATTTGCAATACTTTTTGCTGGGGAGCGCCAGTGGAAAGAAGTGGTTGCAATGACATCATTTATAATAATAATGATAATATTTATTTACTTAATTACTTCAACTTTCCTGCCACTTGACTTCAGGCTGACTGGGCAGCTCACAAAAAAGAATGTTAATTTGACAAAATACATAGAAATACATTACGGGAAATAAATAACAAACCCAGACAAGTACATCAACATCTATATGACAAACATGTTATTTATTTTGTTTATATCCGCCTTTATTATTTTTATAAACAACTCGGGGTAAACACACACAATATTCCTTCCCCCTCCTATTTTTCTTCCAATAACAACCCTGTGTGGTGACTTGGGCTGAGAGAGAATGACTGGCCCAAAGTCACCCATTTCATGAAATGGGTGACATTTCATGCCTAAGGCAGGACTGGAAGTCACAGTCTCCTGGTGCCTTAACTACTAGACTAAACTGACTGAAACCTATCTAACATTATCATCGTAATTATTCAATTGACAGGGTCACCTAATCAGAATGACTCCTGTTTATGTAATAGTGGCTTAAAACAAAAGTAGAAGAGGACCAATACAGTCATTGCAGTGTGTTGGGGACATCTTTTCCGAGGACTTCCCAGTCGACCCTTTGAAAATAGAATGTCTGGGGGATTGGATCAGCAGGATGCTTGTATTTAAGATGTGAAGCTGTGTAAAGGAGGTGTATAAATGTTAAATGTTACTCCTTTTGAAATATCCTCCAGTAGCAGAAAGTGGGGTTGGAATATGGGCTGAATTAGATTCTTCATAATAGGTGCAGTTGGCTGAGCATTATTGGATGGCATGGAGAGGGGGGAAACGACTGAACTCTACACTTTCTCTGTGTTGTAGCACTTCAGAACAGCAGGAAATTATGCTGACTGTCATCAATGTGTATTGCCCTCGCGCTGACCCTGAAAAGCCAGAACGTGGAGACTTCAAGTTGCAATTCTACCGCCTCTTGCAAGCCCGGGCTGAAGCTCTTCTTAGAGCTGGAGGGTAGGTATGCTGTGAAATCCTTGATTCAGCTGTTATTATTAATGCATTGAGCTAGGCTAAGCAATATTCTTTCTACTTTCTGCAATGAGAGGAAAACCGTTGAACTATCTTGCAGGGAAACTGCTATAACTAAGAGTATCTAATAAACATTTGTTCCTATTTGTAAATCCTGTAATATCCCTTTGACTTCTTTCTTTTTTAAAGTAGCATTCAAGCTGCTTTTTTCTTTTTGGCTGAATAAATAGAGCAAAATACATATTATATGAGTATGAAATTCAAGACAAAGCCTAGTTATCCCAGATCTGTTCTGAATTTTATGCAACTCACTTAGTGGGATTCGTGCATTGCAGATTGTTCGGATTTGTAGATCCTGAGATTTCAGTGGTGTGAGCAAATCACCTACTTTTTGAGGAAATTCTGGAGCAAAAACTATTTGTGTGTGTTGTGCACTGAGCACCATCATGTGTGTGTGAAGGAAGGTTGGTGGCTAGGTGGAACAAAATTCTGGGGAGGTTTGTTTGGAGTGTTTTGTTAAGAACTTGGGAAACATGTTGGAGCTCTTTCAGATATATTTGTTTGCTTGTTTTGGCCAGATATGTTTTTGGTCTGTGTATAGTTATTCAGGGTGAGGGAGTGGAGGTCATGGCATGCTTTGTAAATGAAAAGTTCCATGTTTAGTTTTTTATCTTCAGAAACCGAAATGCCGGGTAAAAAATGGTAGAAAACAGATGTATTTGAAGCCTAGGAAAACCATTGCTAATCTGACCCTTTATGACACAGACCAAAGATGTCACTTGATTTAAGTGGATGTTCAGTGTTTTACTCCAAAGTAAGCTATTTCTACTTGGAACCGAATTTCTCCCTGCCGATATTTCTCAGTGCTGCAGCTGCCTGCTTCTGAGCCATCAGCTGTGCTTTATATGTGTACTAGCAGTCTCTAAAATGGAGCTGCAGTTTTTGATCTTGAAGATGGTACACGTTTCCTCTCTTCTTCTAGCCATGTGATCATCCTGGGAGACATCAATACTGCACACAGGTCCATCGATCACTGTGATCCAGGAGACTTGGTAAGTGAAGGCTGTGAGTTCTAGTCCCACCTTAGACACGAAAGCCAGCTCGGTGATTTTGGACCAGTTGCTTTCTCAACCCAACTCACCTCAAGGGCTGGTGATTGTGGGGAAAATAGGAAAATATTTACCAAGTTGAATTATTTAAAAAAAGTAATAGAATCGGAATGTACAGTAAATAAATAAAATAATGCTGGTCTATTGTACAAGGTTAGTACAAAGCAAGGGAGGGCAACTTATAGCTCCAGGCTTGCATATGGCTTTCCAGGCCCTTTTTTGCAACCCTTGAGACTCCTGTGGCCATCATTACTGAAACCCAACAGCACAGTTTCCTGCCACATTGAGTTGGGAAGGCGATGGAGACTCTGGTCTTGTAAACCTTAAAATATGGCCACATTTGCAACCAGAGCCACCATATGTGAGATATGATTCCATCCATTTTGAAGTCCAGGTATCAAAATCTTGCACCCGTTTGGTGATACATGGAAAGCACTTTAATCTCATAAAACTACCCTGATGGTCTAGCAATGTATCCCTGATGCTTCTTTTCTGACTGCAGGAATCCTTCCAGGAGCATCCTGGGCGCCGCTGGCTGGACGGTTTCCTTTGGGAGCCTGGTAGAGATTCTGAGAACGAGAATCTCTTTGTTGATACTTTCCGCTTTCTGAACCCGAGTCAGGATGAAGCCTATACTTGCTGGTGTAACGTAACAGGATCCCGGCATTTGAACTATGGTACCCGCATTGACTACATCTTGGCTGACCGTGCTCTGGCATTGTTGGAACTGACCGATGCCCAGATCATGCCAGAGGTGCTGGGCTCTGACCACTGTCCCGTCCAGGCTGTGCTGAAAAGTACCTGCTTAGCTGCCCCACGGTGTCCCCCGCTCTGCACCCGGTTCCTGCCTGAGTTTGCTGGCATCCAACAGAAGCTCAGCCGGTTTCTGATAAAAGTGGAACAGACCCAACTGCCTGAGAAGGGGCAGAAACGGGACAAAGCAGAGAGAACTGCCTTGGGGGATTTGAAGAAAAGGCGGACCGGCCCAGCACAGAAAGGGCAAGGGGATTTACGTAGCTTCTTCAAAGCTGGGAACTTGGATGTTCAGCCTGTGGATGGTGGAAGGGGCCAGTCAGTTTTGAATGTGGTCCAGAGGGCGGCAGCAGAGGATTCTGGGAAACAGCCTCCTATGAAGAGTGCTGAAAGGATAGCTGATAAATGTGGGGTGGAGGAAGTCTCAGGGGTAACCCAGACACCTGTCAAGAGTCCAAAGAAGGCACCCTCCAAGGGTGTGACCAGCAAGGCAGCTATGAATTGTGAGAAAAACACACTTCCCTCTACGCAAAATCAGTTTGTGTTGTGGAAGTCACTGCTACCTGGCCCTGCACACCCACCTTGCTGCAAGGCCCACAAAGAGCCCTGTGTGTTGCGGACAGTGAAGAAACAAGGGCCAAATTGTGGACGGCGCTTCTTTGTCTGTGCCCGGCCTCTGGGGAAGCCCTCGGATCCCCGTGCACGGTGTGACTACTTCCTGTGGGCCAGCTAGGACACTTCCTGAGTGGAACAAGGGGAGACTGAATCTGATTTGTGGTTTGGGTGCTATGTGCTCCATTTGAATTGCCCAGGCAGGCCACTCTGACTTGGGATGAGTAATTCCAAGTGGCTGCGTGAGGTCAAGGATGCAGATTTTTTTCTGCTCAACATGTCTCTTTTATATCTCAGGAATTTCTACAAGGACTTGGGCAACCTTTGATCTCAGTCCTCTTTTCGCTGTTGCCCCATAAAAAACTTAAATCTTTGTCATTGTGAGAAAATGACTCTCCTTTGTAGAAAACACATTTTTAAAAAACATTTGTTAAAATAAAGATCTTTGGTCAAAACAAAGAAACAAACACCCTTCTGTGTTTTCTCTGTAAATTGGGAACGTTCTTCTCTGAAAAGAGAGGAGATGAGGCTAGGAAATCTCAGCTGTAGTTGGAGCTTGTTTGAATGCTTCCAAATCCCTCTTCTGTGGCCAGAGAATTTCAAGTAGAAGGGCCAACAGGGAGTAAATCATGGTCAAAGGTCAGGAGGGTCAATTTTAGTTTTGAAAACAAAGTTCTACCCACTTTCACAGCTCACTGAAATAATTCCACTAGAATTTCCCCTTTCTTTCTGCTCTATTTTCTCCAGCGCTAGTTCTCTGCTGATTCTATGTAGGCTTTTTGTTTTGGATGTTCCTATTAATTGGCAGCCCAGTAAACAATCATGTGGAAAATAAGAGTGTAATCTGTGGGAGCCTTTCACTTTGTTCCTTGGAAAACTGAATTACAACTTAGTATGTTGTTTGTACCCAGCCAGCTATGACTTACACTCTATCGGGGCTTGATGTACTATGTGAAGTCAGTGCCACTGGCTCCTTGGGATGCAAAAGGCTGCCAGCCAGAGGAATTTCTTCGTCCCAAATTCTCACATTCTATGAAATCTGCAGAAAAGGCCATTTCAGAGCTTTATTGTATTCAGACAATCTCTTTTCTGCTGGGCAGCCTTGGTGGGAGGCATGCCCCTCTCTCTTCCCATTCCCAGGTGGCGAGCTCTGTGGCCTGAGGCGCTCCTTAGGCACAAAGGGTGACATAGCGGGGGCCCATGTTTCCAAAGTAATCCCGCTCCCATTCACTCATGAGGGCAAAATGAAGTGGGCGGTGGCAGAAGTGGCACTCGGGGGAGGTTGAGACCTGCAGCGGTAGGCCCACCTCCTGCCAAGCAGCCAGAAGTTTTTCTGGAAGAGAAGAAAACAGAGAGCTTAAAATACTATTACTAAAAGACTAAAAGACTATTAGCATTGCTGTTGAAAGGGCCACTGGGAGCTAGATGATGGCCTCTGGAGCTAGTAGTAAGAAAATGAATGGCCATAGGCCTGAATTAGAAGCTAAAGATGAGAGGAAATCACTGGCCTTTTTAAAATCCATGTGAGGAAAGAGTCAAATCTCCGTATTGAAAGCTGCTGCTTGTGTTCTATTTATAGACAGAACTGTGGTCTTACCATTGTCTGCACCAGCAGAGGGTAAGTCTCAGCTCTTATTTCATCCTGCTTTTGAATTTGCTTCTAATGATTAAAAACGTTGAAAAATCTATACAATTTTATTTTATAAAACATGGGTTAATATCTAAAGAGATCTTTCAGTGTCTAAGGAACTTTTTAACACTCCCCATAAATACCATCAGCTACTATCATATTTACAGTATGAGTTTGTGGAGTTAAAAATAAAAAATTCTCCACTGGCCACTTGGTGGCAGTACTTACTCACCATAGGCGGATAACTATTGGCCATATGTGTAAAGTAAAATCTCCCAAGGGAGAAATAAAGAGAATTCCAGTGATCAGAAGGCCACATGCACTGGATCCTATTCACTGTCAACCTTTTACAAGACTGGACTAGAGGTACCAATAGGATCAGTTTTGGACTTTCAAATGTACAATTTTTACAAGCCCTTTCAAAATAGTTTACTGAAGGGTGAGGAGACTTCCTTTTCTGCATTTGGTGGTTAACCATTATTGGGTGGAAAAAGCAGGTCACTAGGCACAAATGAAGCATCTCAAAAAGTATATGCATCTACTTAGAACTATAAATCAGAGAACTCCTAGCTGCCATATTTTCATAAAAAATACACTGTTAGGTTTTCCAGAATCTAGTTTTTTCTACCATATTTTTTCTATGGTACTAGATTTGAATTTTGTTTGCTGTGAAGTTACTTTACCACAAGCCTGGTCCTAAAATTCAAAGCAGGAGATCAGAATAGTTTGCATCCATTTTCATTATTTTTCATATTCCATCCACGATGAAATGGCAGTTAATTTTAGCTACTGTTTGTGCAGAGCAGCTTCAGCTTGTAAAAGTATGTCTCGGGCTTAAGGTTCAGTTCTATTTATGACATCCTCAGTGGTTGCTGCACTGAGCTAATAATGAAGAGAAGCAACCATAACTTAATTATCGCTTCAGTGCCTTGTTTTCACAGAGATTTCAAAAGTTCTAACCCTGCCCTTTACTAGTATTTAATTTATAGAATGAGATGATTTATGTAGGATAGAGCTGGGGCCTTAGTGCTCATGGCACTGGAGACTCACCCACAAAGTAGTCCATCATGGGTGGGGTGTGATGAGGCGAGGGGGCCAGCCGCAGCAGTTCCTCCCCCCGGGGCACAGTAGGATAATTGATGGCCTGGACGTAGATGTTGTACTCTGAGAGGAGTAGGTCACAAAGCTGGGTATTCAGGGCTGCATCTCCAACCTGAGGAAGAATGAATCGGACAACTGAGGAAGGGCATCCAGCTGTTTCATCCATCTGGAAAGTTGGCCATAGAGAGTTTAGGGTATCCAGGGTTCCCCTTGTGTGACGGGACACAATTCTGTAGCTACTCAGTCCCATTCATTCATTTCATTTTCTTAAGTATTCTATAAAGGGCTGTGTATATTAAAGACATGGCAAAGTGGCGTCGGTGGAATTTAAGCCTTTCACCTTGAGGACTTTGCCTCAGATTCTGTGTCTGTTTTGCTTCTAGAGCCCTAGTTTCTCCCTTCCACCATCCCAGGACATCCATACCCGTATGGGAATGATGTGACTTGGGCAGCTGACCACAGGCAGCCCGGCATCCATAAGCAACTGGCGCATATGCTTGACGTTCCGCTGGTGGGCACGGCGCAGCACCTGCCCCTCAGGACTCTTCAGGATCCGAACAGATTCCAGGGCCCCAGCCAATACCATGGGGGGCAGCGAAGTGGTGAAAATGAATCCGGCTGCATAGGAGCGCACTGTGTCAATGAGGGAAATAGTGCTTGCAACATAGCCACCCACGCAGCCAAAGGCCTTTCCTGGAGGAGAAAGGGAGGAAAAGAAAGGTGTATCTTTAATGACAAGCGTGTCTTATGCTATTAAGTGTATTTAGCATTAAAAAACATGAATGAGCTAGTGCAGTTAAAAAATAGCACAATGACTTCTGTGAATTCTGGGAAGCTGCTGGATCTGAAAACTTGTATACAGTATGCAAGCTGGACATATTGTACGTCTTGCATTTTTTCCTCCTTATGAATGATAAGGAGAAAAAAAATCAGAGGCGGAAATCTTGCAGCAACCAGCAGAACTCACCAACTTTGGGTCTTGAGATGGTCAGCTTTTTAATGGCCAGTAGGGTTCCCTGAGAGCAGGAGTCCCCAACCCCCAGTCCGTGTACTGGCACCAGTCTGTGGCATGTCAACAGCCGGGCCACGCAAATAAGCGAAGCCCCAGCCACAGTATGCAGGCAGCATGCAAAACCACGCCCCTTCTCCTGTTCGCAGAAAAACCTTTCTCCACGGAATCAGTCCCTGGTGCCCAAAAGGTTGGGGGCCAGCCAGACGCCTTGTAGTATTTATGACACACTTTCTTTCTGGTTCCTCTCTGGGCCTTTGCTTTCCCAACTCACCGAGAGTGCCAGATACGATGTCTATTTTGCCCATCACTCCATCACGTTCTCCAATGCCAGCTCCCTGGGTCCCATAGAGTCCCACAGCATGGACCTCATCCACAAAAGTGATAGCCCCATAGCGGTGGGCCACATCGCACATTTCTTCCAGGGGGCAGATGGCACCTGCGAACAAAGGACTATTGAAAACACTGGATTTGGCCAATTACCTGAATGACAAAAGCTTCCAACCCACTTTTTTGTGTGCATGCAACTTCCGGACTACCCTTTTTGCAGTCTGTTTTGCAGTATTAGTCTAGTGGCTGCCTCTAGTCCTGCAAGTCTTTTGACTGAGTCCCTGTTTATTGTTATTTATTGTTCATTTAGTCCAGAGGTCTTCAAACTTGGCAGCTTTAAGACTTGTGGACTTCAACTCCCAGAATTCTCCAGCCAGCAAAGCTGGAGAATTCTGGGAGTTGAAGTCCACAAGTCTTAAAGCTGCCAAGTTTGAAGATCTCTAATCTAGTCATTTCCATAGTGACCCATTATCTTTGCCACTTTTCCCCTGAACCTGCTGTTGGTTATCCCTTCTTCAACTGGCCAAGGAATCGGGGTTGGCCCAGGAAGAAGGAAGTGCTTTTGGTCAGCTTATACATAGAAACCCCTTTCTGATGCATGATGGTGTTTTTATGAAGTCATTAGGACACCGTGTAGCAAAACCTAAAGGGAGACAATTACCGTCCATCGAATGCACAGTTTCAAAGGCAACAATCTTTGGGGTGCTGGGTTTGGCCTTGCGAAGGAGCTCCTCCAAATGGTCTGGATCATTATGCCGAAACACATACTTTGGAACGCCGCTGTTTCGGATGCCCTGGATCATGGATGCATGATTCCCAGCATCAGAGTAGATTTCACATCCTACGGGAGAGAAACCAAGCCAAGAGTAATGCCCCATCTCTCCTCTTCCCACAAATTAGAGAGAACAGAGGTCTTCACTTCAGGCTGATCCTAGGGACTCCTGTACTGCCTGGTTACCTGGCATCATGCGGGCAAGCGTGAAGAGAGTAGAGTCATTGGCCACAAAACAGGAGGTAAATAGCAGAGCGGCATCTTTGTTGTGCAAGCTGGCCAATTCCTCCTCCAGAGCCACGTGGAATCGGCTAGTCCCAGAAATGTTCCTGGTACCTCCAGCTCCTGCTCCATAACGCTGCAGAGTATCCCTGCAGGTTAGAAGAGCAGACTGAGACCTTGCTCAGAAAATAGCAAAGATCATCTACAACCAGTTCTCATACCCGGCTTTCAAGTTTCTGAGAGGAAAGCTTTTGCTAGAGACAACCTTGCTGGGTTCTGAATATAGGTAGTCCTTGACTTATGACCACAGTTGGAACCAGAATTTCTGTTGGTAAGTAAAGTAGTTAACATTGGGTAAGTCACACCTAGTTTTACAATCTTCTTTGCCAAGATTGTTAAGCGA